AAAATATGGGCGTGATTTTTGTAACTCGATGTATTCGTATCTCGATGTCCATAACTCGAACAATTCAGCGTCTCTTAAACATATGGCCACACATTCATTGGTAACTTTTGACACAATTAAAGTTTATTTTCATTTAATTATTTATTGTCAGGTACCAATGATGCACTGATGAACTCTCAGGGTTTAAGATCACACACCTACTATAGCTGATCTATATAAAAATATAGAAATAATTTGTCGTATCATATTTGTGTCTCTGGTCGATCATATTTGTACAAAGAGCATTCCACTTGTATTTAACGCATGAGCTTCCACATCGTCCGAATCGCACGGTCCCGTGTCTTCGACCTATAGGCCTCTGTTTAGAGGCTTGGCCGAATAAACTTAGACCTTGGCTAGCGAAGATGGAGCTTTCCGAACTATTCCTGTTTTTTCATGAAACTAGCACGTATTGTACTAGCATCATTCTTCATTCTGAAAGAAATCAATAACAACGATTGTAAACAGATTCAGTCCTACGTGATAATTATCACTAATTAATATTGCATTAAGAAATACGTGGACTTGAATGCCATAAATGACAGTTTTATCCAACTTTACAATCAGGCCCGTAGTTTGGGGGGTTCGGTCGAACCCCCTCAATTTTGGAAGTGAATACATTTATGATCGTAGATTAGGACATAATAAAACAAACAGTATTAATTAAAATAATTATCATCGTTTAAATCACTTGAATCAGTGAGGTAACTATCAGACTCAGCCAAAATTGCATAGTAATGAGCATTTAGGTGGCAACGAGCTTTAAATGTCAATCGTGAAGTTACGCCGTCTCAGTTCAACAGCAGCCAATCAAAACATGTTGTTATAAATGGGCAAGCTTTTATTCGGTGATTCCGCGATGGTGTAATGAAGATCGCGTTCAAGCAGCTGATGTTAAATATTAAAACAGCATTGAAACAATAATGTAATGGTAGTCACTCTCTGAAGGATGTGGTGGTCCTGAATAGGTTCGTTTGTCTTGTGCTAGTGTTCTGTGAGGGGAAAATTCTCTTTCTCTCTCTGGGTTCTCCACACTTGTCAGGGGGAAAACTCGTCTCGTCTCTCTATCTCGTCCCCTTGAGGTACGGAATCGGGAAAGTCACTTATACTTTACAGTCAAATAAGACGCACACAACGAAATACGTTTCAGCTCTCGTCTTAGTCGATCTTTTGGAGCACTCTATAAGACACAGCGCCCTGGGGAAAAATCCCCAAGACTCTCTTAGACTGCGTCAAGGCTCGCCCCAAGTCTCTCCAGGACTCACGACTGCCCAGGACTGCCCTCGACTGCGTCTGTCGTGGAGTATTCGCCAAGACCAACTCAAACTCTCTTTATTCATTTTCAAAACTCTGACCAATTACAATGCAGTAAAAAGACTCTAGGGCGTAACCTTCAATCATAAAGCCAATCACACTAAGTACTGAATACGTCATATCTTTTGATTAATCGTTCACTACATTAATAACTACGGATGTCAGAATAGCGACGGTATCTTGTAATTAGTTCCAAACAACTGAGCCAAGTTCCGTCCAAAACTTCAAATAGGCCTACACGATGACAGACATAACACAGCAATTCGCTAATAATCAGTTAACTAAGTCGGTCAACAGATACGCGAAAACAAATTCATGACAGTTCGCTCAGTTAGTAAAGTGTGGGGATCGAACGGGATTGACACAACAACACGACACTGTACTTTCATAGTTTGGTTCATTAGTTTCGTATGCTTCAAGTTAATAATGGCATATATACTGTTAGAGATACTGCAAATTTCTTAGGGATAATTACTCAAAGAATAACAAAATTGTTGTGAGCAAGAATGGCATGCCTCAATTTCACAATCATCCAGGCTGTGTACTTTCAGAAAAATCAATATAGTATTATAACCTTAGTGATTTATTGGCAAGCAATTATAGACTAAAATATATACTGACGAGTTTTCGCTGTTTTGGCCATAAACATAATGTTGAATTAGGCAGACACACAAAAATACAGTTAGATCAATAAATTTTTAGTTTTTGCAGTGATACGTTCGAATTTAGCATCTTAATAATTCACTTTGTTTTTATATGTTCACTTTCAATGATCTATCAGGGGGGATTCTTCTCTCGGGGTTCTCCACACTTGTCAGGGGGGGATCTAGTCTCGTCTCTATAACTCGTCACCTCGAGGTGCGGGATCGGGGAAGTCAGTTAAGCTTTACAGTCAAATAAGACACACAAAACGAAATACGTTTCAACTCTCGTCTTAGTCGGACAGTCTATCACTCTATAAGACACAGCGCCCTGGGGAAAAGTCCCCAAGACTATCGCAAGGCTGACCCAAGACTCTCTTAGACTGCGTCAAGGCTCGCCCCAAGTCTCTCCAGGACTGCGTCTGTACTGCGTCTATGGTGCCGTACTCGCCAAGACCAACTCAAACTCTCTTTATTCATTTTCAAAACTCTAACCAATTACAAAACAGTATAAAGACTCTAAGGCGTAACCTTCAATCATAATGCCAATCACACTAAGTACTGAATACGTCATATCTTTTGATTAATCGTTCAATACATTAATAACTATATATATGAATACCAACTGTCAGAATTAATAGTCAGAATAGCGACGGTTATCTCGTAATTAGTTCCAAATCACTGAGCCAAGTTCCGTCCAAAACTTCAAATGGGCCTAAACGATGACAGACATAACACAGCAATTCGCTCGTAATCAGCTAATTAAGTCGGTCAACAGATACGCGTAAACAAATTCATGACAGATCTAAGGGCTGATCCTTTGTCAATAATCCTATGCAATTATGCAAATACTGATGACAGTCTGGGCTTACTTCGTCGTTACACAAACTGCCATATCATATATCAACTAGCTCTGTGTCTTTTAAAAGTTTTCAAGCGACGAGATGAATATGAATCCAGCTTAACTTAGTATCATATGTTTACAAGGATGATGTATTGTTTTTAAAACGTCCTATGCACTTTTCTATCCATTACATTTTGTACAATGAATGGGCTGAGGCCTTGTACAGAAATAAAATTACATTAATAAAAAAATGACCAATACTAAAA